TGAGCACGACACAGAGGAGTCGTTTGCGTCTCTCCGCACCACCCTCCGCCACGCCGACGGCACAGACCAGACCGACACCACCACTACTTCAGCATCAGGGCCGGCATCAACGGCACGGGCAGCGACGAAACCAAAGCCAAAGCCCAAGCCAGCAAACGTCAAGACCGCCAAACACATCACCAGCCTGTGATGTTGTGTCTGTGTCTGTGTGTGTGTGTTTGCGTGTCTGTGCGTCTGTGTCTGTGTCTGTGTCCGTGTCTGTGTCCGTGTGTGTGTCTCTGTCCGTGTGTCTGTGTCTGTGCCTGTGTCTGTGTCTGTGTCTGTGTGTGCGTGTGTGAGCGTGCGTGTGTCTGTGTGTTTGCTCCGCCTTGTTGTTTTGCTTTCCTAACTTCCTTCATGAATTTGTTATTTCTTTCGCCGCCCATTCTTGCTGGCTCGCTTTCTCCCCTCCACGCCATCTTCACTCTCGCAATGATCACTGTACAGGCAACATGCTGTTGGCCAGTTATGTTTTAAGAGTTTTTGTTTTCGTGCTCTGTCAACATGCAATTCACGCTACCCTGTGCGCTATGCCACGTGCTGTAACAACAAACACTACAAACGATCACTTTGAACATTTCGTATCACCATCTCATCATCGCATCATCTGAATGACCACCCACAAGCACACGCTCGCAACAGAGCACACGCATTCATGTAACCACACGCATTCATGCAACCCCACGCACGCAGTCAAACACACGCACGCAGTCGAATACACGGATACCAACGTCCCCCCTCCCCCACTTCAACCTCTCCACCTTGCCTCCACCTTTTACTCAGCCCTGTTGTTGGCGAACCTGCTCGCTGATGTTGTTGATGCGCGTGTGCGGGTATGCCTCGGGCAGGAGGAGATACGGGTACAGCGCCGACGGAAGAAAGTGCTGAGTCAGCTTTCGTAGGCTGTACCCATATGCGTTCACGCGTGCCTCGTACTTGTCGATGACGTGTGCACACCGTTGCGTAAAGTTTGGCTGCAGCTGTTTGAACGTCTCCACCCACGAGAACTGGGCACCGGGGCCCGTGTGCACCTCAACAGCTGCCCGGCTCCCGTGATAGTGCAGCAGCTGCCGCCGCCGCTGCTGTGCACGCGTTGTGGATGAGGATGATAACGATGATGGTGATGGTGGTGGTGGTGATGATGATACCTCGGTGTGGTTGCGGCTCGCGCCAAGGGAGGGGACATCATCCCACCTGGCACCATCTCCATCAGCACCACTGTCACCACCACCGCCACCGTTGCGGGCTGCGAGCGGGCTGCGCTGTGCCCTGGACTTGTAGTCGAATGCGCCCGCCTTCATCAGGTCACCGGCTGCCGTTGGGGCGACGATGTGCGGTGCTGGTAGCGGCTCGATGTCGCCCTTGTTCGCTTCCTCAAGATACGCAGCGTTGTCCAGGGGCACGTCCTTTGCGTTGATGCTGATGTTTGGCGCCAGGCCCAGCATGTGCTCTGCAACGTGCAGCACAGCCTCTGTGTTTCGCCGGTCGAGCAGCGTCTCCAAACTGACAATGCCCACGTTCTCCAGATACGGCAGGTCCTGCACGAGCCAGTCGTAGACGGTGAGGAAGCCCTTGATGTCCAACTCGGCGCAGTCGTTGTAGTACTGCCGCTGCTTTGCCGCGTTGAAGCGGTGGTAGAAGTGGTACATGGCGCCGAGTGGGTGCCGGATGGTGACGAAGAACACCGTGCGGAGCCCGAAGATGCGCTGCATGTACCGCGTCATGGTTGTGTGCCGAGGTGACTTCTCCAGCAGTACGGGTTTGCTCATGTCCCAGTACGGCGACCATGCCTTGACCAGCTTCCGCTTCGTGCGCTTTGGCGACCGCACGTCACGCTCCGTCTTGTGCGCGTCCTCGTGGTAGAACCAGCGCCGGGCCCCGCCAATCTTCCGCGCCGTCGTGTACACGCTCTGCAGATGCTGCCCTTCGTCCTCAGCCTGGCCCGTATCTGCGAGTGTGTGTGTGTGTGTGTGTGTGTGTGTGTGTGTGTGTGTGTGTGTGTGTGTGTGTGTGTGTGTGTGTGTGTGTGTGTGTGTGTGTGTGTGTGTGTGTGTGTGTGTGTGTGTGTGAATGGCGTGAGAACAACATATGAAGAAGGGAAAGAGTTGTTTGAAGGACGTACAATGTAACGGCAATGGAAGCAGACGATGGTTGAAATAGATATGGTGGCAGGAAAGTGTGATGTGGTGTGATGTGATCTCATTTCAAAACTCCAACACACGTGCGCACACACGCACACACGCACACACACCAGCACCAACCTGTGAGGCGTGTCACGTTTGGATTCATTGCCAGCAGGAGGTCCAACAGCGTTGTTCCGCTAAGGATGCATGAACAACCGCTTGCGTGAGCAAAGGAACGCTGTACACGGCACTGACCAAATAAACGCCACAACACACACAAACACACACAAACACACACACACACACAAACACACACAAACACACACAAACAAACACACCTGTGGTGTTGGCCGACAACAAACGCGTGGCGATGAAATGGCTGAGTGCTGGTGCTGTCGTCGTCGTCGGCGGCGGCGTCATCATCGGCTGCATCGTCATCATCACCGTCTGCAGAGGGATCCGTGGTGGTGTTGATGGCATCGTCGTCGTCGGTCATGCGTGCGTGCGTCACGGCTGGTGACAGCGCCGCAAGCGCAACGAGCACCAACAAGAAGAACATGACGCCGCCAAGGCCAACACGGCCCCGGCTGCGACGTCGCGCTGGTGCCGGTGCTGGTGGTAGCATTGTTGTCGTTGGTGGTTGTTGGAGTCGGGTTTTGCCAATTGCGGGCAATGGAGGAGGACAATTGGCAAAACCGCTTGTGCGGTGTGATGCTGTGCCAAATATGGAATGGTCCGGAAGTGCGTCAGTGCCAGTGGAACTGACAGAGAGAAACATAGGCCATGTCAGTGTCACTGTCCGACTGTCACACCCTGAGCGAGAGGACGGGGACACGGCAGTCCGCAGAGGCACGGTGTTATGCAATACCGTGTTTGCGATGTCATCGCCCAAGTGAGAGAACATGTGTGTCATCACCAGCGCAAGGAAAGGAACGCACGATAGTGTGGCGCCATTTATCCCATTCCTTGGTTTCCCTCCTAGTCGACTCTCTCACAAAGAGACTGTCTACCCGACACCCCCTTATGCCATGTACGTTCTGTCAATTGGCGTGTGTGTGTGTGTGTGTGTGTGTGTGTGTGTGTGTGTGTGTGTGTGTGTGTGTGTGTGTGTGTGTGCGTGTGTGTGTGTGTGTCTGTCTGTCTGTCTGTGTCTGTCTGTGTCTGTGTGTGTGTTGTGCGCGCGCATGTGTGACGACGTCGCCCCGCCTGCTTGCCTGGGCACCTTATTGTCACAACGATCCACTGTGTGCTCATCCCAGGACTGAACACCCCTCCCCCTGTGTGGTTGTACGTGCGACTGGACGTCATTCATTTGCAGTGCCAAAGTTCCGCCTGCACGGAGCCAGCAACAACGTTGTTGGCCGCGAAAAACAAGGCAAACACGACGGCGAGCGCTTCTGCGTTCCTTTAAGCGTCTGCTCCGATGGACGAGTATTGGCCGTGATGACTACATGCCAACAAAAGCCGTGGATATCTGTGAACAGACGTAGGTTGACGCTGCCTCGCGTGCCAATATCCCGAAAGGACGGTGCGAACAGAGACTGCGCCGCAGACATCATTCACCTACGTACAGGAACGATGCCCAGCAGCATGCGTGGCAGCGTTCCGCCGCACATCACAAGGGAGGTGCGCGAGTGCGCCTGGAGCTTTGTGGCGCAGCCAGGAGGACAAGGCATTTCATGGACTGTCTGCATTGACAAGGATGCCGGAGTCAAGCAGCGCAAGCACAAGACTTATGTCGTCATATCCAACGACCGTCTTCATGAGTATCGCTTCACATGGGTGATGCCGTGGGACAGTGCCACCGCGAGCGTGATTCCAAAGCTGTACCACTTTGATGTGCTCCCTGATTTCCACGGTATGTGTCGCATGGATTTGCCTTCCTGGTGTGATGTTGATGTTTGCTCACGTGCCTTGGTAAGTGCTCACACACACGCCGTTTTCTTCACTCACCCGAGTTTGCACCATGTGGTATGAATTGTACAGGCTTACGCAGTGACAAAAGGAGTACGTGATATCATCATCCCACATCAGCGCACCTGCGTTGCGTATTCGGGTTTTGGCGACGGTGTACCCTTGCATCTTGTACCCCTCTCCTTCTTGTGCCTTGTTTCTCACCCTTGGTACCACATGACACCCACTCCACTTGCAGATCTGACGTACGGCTCAAAGTTGGACGCAAGAGCACAACGCAAAACGTACATCCAACTGAAGCGTATGTTTGGCAAAGCGGTGTGACGAAGTGCTGCCGCAGCTGCATATACCCCATAGTGTTAAATCAAGCAGTGTGTGTGCTTACGGCACACACCCAGCCGATTGTGCCAGAGCGATGGCTTTTATGGCACACTAATTTGAACGGAAACAGTGGGTTGATTTGATGAGATGGGTCTCTCATCAACCGCTTCATGATCTCGGGCGTTGTACCCGAAGCAGCATCAGCTTTGATGGAACACTGTTGTTTGCAGTTTGCAGTCATCATGTCACGTCTCCCTCATGTCCCAGCCGTTCGCAGCAATTTTGTTGCCTTGCTGCTTTCTCCTTCCCCTTCTTCGCTTCTTTGCTCCTGTGTGTTGTTCTGCTCGCTCTTCTCTTCCCCCTTGCGTTTCGCTTGTTTGTGAGTGCCATGTTGTGGTGTACCTATCCTCTTCCTCACATGACTCATTTCGTCCTATTCCTCCCTCCTCTACCGTGCCCTGACAACCCTAAGCATACAAGTACAACCCCATCAACAACACCAACTACTACTATTTTAATAACCACACACACACACACACACACACACACACACACACACACACACACACACACACACACACACACACACACACACACACACAC